TGTTCTAATAGATCTTTGTGTTTTCCCCATGCTTTTAAAAGTGATCTCCTAATTATACGATTATGGAATCCTTTATGTACTTTCCCTTTATTATACCATAGGTACGCATGCCAACCAAATCTATTATCATGTCCTTCCAGATCTAATATATCCATATTTTCTAATTTTATCCAATCCTGGATCCAAGTAACACAAGCAGCTTCATAATATAATTTGAAATCTGGAAGGGAGAATCCTCCTGTATCTTTAGTGTCCATAAGTATTTTATGTTTTATCCTTGGTTTCTTCCCTTTCCATATAAATTTTGAAATATCCCTTTGCCATTTCTTAAAGCATACTGTGTTACTTATCACCAGTATTGGCTGGAATAAGAAAAACATTTTTGGCAATGCGTTCATTTTGATTGCTCCTATTCTTCCTAATAGTGATAAATTCATTTGCCCCATATTTCTAGATTTTGAACATGCAAATAAACCAGGGAAATTGCTGGCATGATAATTGAATAAAAATGAGCTTAAAAACTCAATAAATAAAATTAAAATTAATGAAAAAAAGATAATCCAAAATAAATCAGGAAAGCATTTGTTAAATATTTCACAGATTTATATAAGATAGGATCTGAAAATAAGATAGATATGGAGGACTACCTGAAAGCAGGTAAGTTACCAGGGAGACAAATGAAGGAAAGCAAGAAATGAAAAACAAGCAGCATTGATGTTTATAGATGCTGGAAAAAGCCTTTGATAATGTCTCATTGGAATTTTTGAAAAACGTTTTGGAAGGAATGGACTATGGAGAAAATTTTTGGACAGGAATCCAAGCAATATATTCAGATCAAAAAGCAAAGTTAATTGTAAATCAGGTGGTAACAGATGAGTGCAAGATGAAGAAGGGAACAAGACAGGGATGTCTGTTATCACCTTTACTTTTCATTATGGTCCTAGAAGTCCTGACGAGAAATATTAGGGGGGATGGAAAAATTAGAGGAATTGTGGTAGGAAAAAATCCTATAAATTGAAAGCCTATGCTGATAACCTTATAATCACAGTTGAAGATCCCCATAATTCTCTTCCGAAAGTCCTAGAAAAAATACAGGAATCTGGGCAAGTGGCAGGTTTCAAACTAAATAAAAACAAGACCAAAATGCTAGGGAAAAAATTGTCAGAACTAGATAAAAGAGAATTTCTCAGATTCATAAGAAAGTTAAATACTTAGGAATCTGGCTTACAAAAAAGAATATTAATATTTATAAGGAATCTATTTTTTGGGAATCGTGCAACGTGTTTAAGTTTTTCCTCAGCACGACACAGATGACATTTTGACAGTCCAATTCCCGTACATGTCCTGGAAAACCCGGATGTATGGCAGCCCTAATTTAATACTCACCACATCCCTACCTGGAATATTCTTCCTACTTTGGGGGGGGTGTGGAGCATGACCTTTGGATACCATGGTCCTGATCGCTAATGGGAAAAGCCTGCCAAATACTGCTGCCCTTGTCTCCGATGGAAGTTTGCAATTTACATCAAAGGTTGGCTAGCCTAGATTATTTAAAGCAATGTTAGGGCAACATATTCAAATAACCTGCAATTTTTGGACTATGATTGAGAAGCTTAGTCATCTCATCTGGAAACCTTTCAAGATTTCTTATTATATAAGCAACATGACACAGAATTATAAATAGAAGTATGGGTTACAGAACGCAAACAATTAACGGTAGCATAGATATATGTGAGCCAAACTGGAAGATACTTCAGTTTTGTCTTATAAATGGAAGTTTTGAACTAGTGTTGTACCAAAGAAAAATCTCTTGTATTTTTTTAAAAAAATCATTCTCCAACCATTTAAGAGCTTCTTTTTTTTTAAGGATGGCATTCAAAAAGTGATGGATGGGAAAATATTTTTTGGCAAAATTCTCATGGGTGAGGTGCAAGGTTTTTGTTGTGCTTACCTTCCTTTGAAGGAACTGTGATCCTTCTAGTCTCCTAACCGTCTGGAATATGAGCATTCATTATTTTTTAAAACGCATTTTTACCCCACTTTTTAGCCAACAAGGTTTCCAGAGAGGCTTACATAAGATGAATCACAAGCGATATGGACTCTGCTCTCAGGTTTACAGCTTGAAAGGCACAAAAGTGGAAGGGGAGGAGGAATAGCAGAAAACTCAGGCACCAGTGCTGAAAGTTACGATGTTGTTGCAATGCCTAGCTTGAAGGAAGCAACTCAGGGAATGGAAGAGCCAAGGCAGCTGGTCATTCACATTGGCCAATGGAGTGGACACTGCTTTCCATCTGTCCTGCTGCTGCAGACTGATGGGGTGGCTATTTTGTAGGAGACAGTTGAAGGAAGAAGGAACCCATTGGCACTTGTCAGCGAAGTCAGTGAAGGAGGCCTTGCATCCTGTGTCAATGTACCAGTTGTATTGCCTTTCAAATATCTACTTCATTTATGTGTGGCAATGATGTCCTTCCTGTGTAGGACATCGGGGCCAGAACACATGGTTCCCCAGCTCATTTCATCCTTGCAACAACCCTGAGCAGTAGATTGAGCTGCAGAAAGTAATATGGTGGCCCAAGGTTAACTAGCAAACGCCATAGCTGAGTAGGGATTTGAACCTCTTTAGTCCTGGGCCACAGTCACTCCATACATTAAAAGCACTATAATACCATGGGTTCTCCCAAAGAATGTTGGGAGCTGTAGTTTGTGAAGGGTGCTTAAAGTTGTTGGAGACTCCTATTGCTCTCACAAAGCTACAATTCCCAGAGTTCCCTGGGAAGTGGCATTGATTGTTAAAGTTGTTAAAGAGCCAGTGTGGTGTAGTGGTTATGAGCGGTAGTCTTGTAATCTGGGGAACCGGGTTCGCGTCTCCGCTCCTCCACATGCAGCTGCTGGGCGACCTTGGGCCAGTCACACTTCTTTGAAGTCTCTCAGCCCCACTCACCTCACAGTGTGTTTGTTGTGGGGGAGGAAGGGAAAGGAGAATGTTAGCCGCTTTGAGACTCCTGAAGGGGAGTGAAAGGCGGGATATCAAATCCAAACTCTTCTTCTTCTTCTTCTGGAAACTGCAGTTCTAAGAAGGGAATAAGGGCCTCCTAACAACTCTTCAGTAATGTGGATGGCGCTGTGGTGTAAACCACTGAGCCTAGGGCTTGCTGAACAGAAGGTCGCGGTTCAAATCCCCGCGATGGAGTAAGCTCCCGTTACTCGGTCCCTGCTCCTGCCAACCTAGCAGTTCGAAAGCACGTCAAAGTGCAAGTAGATAAATAGGTACCACTCCAGCGGGAAGGTAAATGGCGTTTCCATGCACTGTTCTGGTTTCGCCAGAAGCGGCTTAGTCATGCTGGCCACATGACCCGGAAAAACTGTCTGTGGACAAACGTCGGCTCCCTCGGCCAGTAAAGCGAGATGAGCGCCGCAACCCCAGAGTCTTTTGTGACTGGACTTAACTGTCAGGGTCCTTTACCTTTACCTTTTAACAACTCTTCCCCTTCATGGATCACTGCCTTGCCATGGCGAAGGGCCGAAGAAATTATGAGCTATGCCGTGCAGGGCCACCCAAGATGGACAGGTCATAGACGAGTTAAGACTAAATGTGATCCACCAGGAGAAGGAACTGGCAAACCACTCCAGTATTTTGCCAAGAAAACTTTATGGACATAAAAAAAGAGAAGCTTTGAGAAGAAAGTGAGAGTTTGCAAGACATCCTCTGCTTCATGGGGTCACGCAGAGTCGGACATGACTAAGACAACTAAACAACAACTCTCAGCACTCTTAACAAATTATAGTTCCCAAAATTCTTTAGGGGAAGTCATGGCTGTTGAAAGTGTCATCAGAGTGCTTCAAATGTATGATGCCTTAGTCACTTACCACACAGGCTTTCCCTGTATATATGAACTTGTGTGTGATATGCATATATACATATACATGTACACATATATATCTGGCAATATTCTAACCACAGACTCCCTGTTCTTTCCTCTCATTAGTTCATTTCATGTGAGAGAGCTTGTTTATTTAGTGGATTTGTATCCCAACGCTCAGCTGAAGTCCTCAAGCTTTTTGTGTTTCGAGTGACAAGCACATCTACCAGAGTAACTGTACAGAACAGCATCTCTTGGATGCCATTAAACGTTCTGCACAGAGAAAGCCATTCTGAAGTCTGTGTCTTTCTGAGGAGGAGCAGAGGACATCTCTGCCACAAATGTAGTTGTTAGTGCCAAGACGAATTGGCTGTGATACAGAGTGTAGCCCTCGTTCCCTAGAGCTAACCTGGATGCAATTTTCGGGTCCTCAAACAGCATTGTAAGTATGTCAGCCGAAGTGAATGGTTAGCACACACCCATTAGCTACAGAACTTGTATTGTATTAACAAAGAATGATGATTTCAATGAAATAACCTCACCTATTCATAATAATTCCTGCTATAAGGAAACACAGTGGAAAATATGCCAAGCCATCCATCAAACAATTCGAAAAGTATGACAAGAAATCCCAGGGGTATTTCCAAGTCCATGTACACACACACACACACACACACATATTCTCCATAAGACTACACAGTAATATGCACACACTTAGGTAGCAATCCTGCACACACACAGTTGGCATAAAGTAAGGCAGTATAAGTTCAGCCAGGCCCCCATCTCATCAGTCAGACTCTGAACCCAAGCCAGTCCCTCTCCTTGCCTCTTTTCCCAGCACCCCACCCCTCTTGCCTCAGGCCTCCAAAAAAGAGACTTTGGGGCTTGGGATCCCTTCACTCTCTGGTTCATCCCCATCCCAACCAGGGCAAATCCAGACGCCTTCCCTGGGGAGTCTCTCCTCGCCTTGGCAAAAGGCGGACAGCAGCGCCTGGCAAACCGGGTGGCAAGCTGGACACTGGCCTGATTCACTGCAACGCAGTTTGAGGGAGAATGGAGACAAGCCGCCTCATCATACAACCGTTCATCTGGCAAAGAAAATCCACACACACATATTCTCCATAAGACTACACAGTAATCACTTCCGGAGGCGGCGCCAACAGTAATGGCGATCTCCTCATAACTCTCGAGGAGAGGCTCCGCGAAAACTGGGTCGATCCGCTACGGCGCAGCGGAGACCCTTCCGAAACCCGCAGGCGGAGGAAGCCTGCGGTCGTGGGACTCGGCGGGTGCCTGGAGCGCGCCCCTAAACAGCGCAGGAACCCCGTAAGGGGCTCCGAAGCAGGACGGGGGCGGCGCGGCACTGTGAGTCGTCTGCTACTTTCGCGGAGTGAAGCCGTGCAGCTGTTGCTGGAGAGCGCTGACCTTTCTTCCTTGACAATTCGGCTGTCAAAGTACAACCCGTGAGTAGGTTTCACGCTATAAGGATTAACAAAAGTTCTGAACTAATTTGGCTGAAGCGGGAACGGTGTAAAAAGGAAGTCCACCTCCCGGTCTGTATAAAGAATAAAGCAAAGACTGTGCGAGATCGATACCAATGACTGCCAAAAGAGACTGAAACACAGACTTCTAATTTAAAATTTTCCCTCCCACAATTGGATTAGGGGGGGGAAGAAGAGATAGTATTTCTTGTTATTCTCTGTTATTTTTGAGTAATTTAAAGAGCAAATAAGGAAATAAAAGACCACCTCTCAATCCCTGGGGACAGACTGCCAGGTTTTGGAAAGATTGGACACTTTGTTAGCACTCTAAATGGACAATGTATCTTTTTGCCTTTTAACTTTACAAAATTGAAACTTTGGGAAAAAGTTTGGGAAAAAGTTGCCTCTTTGGCTGTTTGAGAGTTTTCATTCTTGATACTTTATTACTTGTGTCCCCCTGGAGGCCAAAGGGGAAAAAGTTTCTAATTGACTGAGGAATTTTCCACCTAACAGCAGCCTGGGAAAGTATAATAACAAAACAATTTTGACTGTGAGAGCGACCTTGACTTTTAGATAAAGTGCCATGGAAGGAAGAGATCTGAGGTCTGGGAAAGGCAGGCAGCAGAGCAACATCCCACAACAGCAACAGCGTAGGCAATCCATCGCTGGACCACAAGGAGAGGAAGAAGGATTGGCCAGTTTATTTAAAATTGTGAACGAAGGTTTTGAAAAATTGGGTCAACAAAATGCCGAGGCTCTAGAAGCCATTAGACAAAATTCTGCAAGTATTGACAAGTTGACCCGACAGACTAATGAAAATACAGATGTGATTAAAAAACTACTGGAACAATCTGCTGAAACTCAAAAACAGCTTTGGAAGCCAGAGAAAAGGCGGTAGCTGCTGAAGAAAAACTACCACCTTTAATTAAACAAGTTCAAGAGCACCACATAAGATTGGGAACGCACCAGGAATTGTTATCTCTTCTTGAGTTAAAGGAGAAACAGACCAACTTAAGGATCAGAGCAGTACCTGAGATTGAAAAAGAGAGCCTGGCAGACTTTCTGACGCAAGAATTTGCCAACTTTTGGCAATTGAATGATAAGGAAGATTTCAAGATAACGTCTGCTTTTAGGCTCGGAAGAAGAGCAAGGAAAAATAGAGTGAGAGACTGCCTGATTACCCTGCGATCAAAAGAGGAACGAGATAAAATTTTGAGCTTACATTATCAAAATACACTGACAATACAAGACTCAAGGATAGAAATATTTAAAGACATTCCAAAGCTTCTTTTGGAGCTTAGGTCTAACTATCGAGACCTGGTGACGTTGCTGAGAGGAAACAGAATTTTTTCAGGTGGGAGTTCCCTCAAGGCCTATCTTTCAGTTTTAGAGGCAAAAAATTAAAATTAAATCTGTGGAGGAGAAACAGAACTTTTTGAGAGACTACCAAGAGGACCTACAAAAAAGGATTGGAGCCAGAAGCCCCTTTAACAGGATTGGATCTTACATTACCACCGTTGGGAGAGGATAAGACAGAGAAGCCGAAACCACCAACAGAGGAAGAAGAGTTATTGGGAGCAGTTGGAGGGAAATAAAGAAATCATCATGGCTCTGCAACTTTTAACTTGGAATGTTTGTGGTCTGAATTCTCCGGAAAAAGAAGGAAAGTATTTCATATACTTAAAAAGAACAATTGGACTTAATTTGCTTACAGGAAACCCATGTGATGAGGCTCCATAGGAAAATATTGATTAATAAGAGACTGTGCCAATATTTTATCTCATCAGACTAAGTTTAATAACGAGGAGTGGTAATTTACGCAAAGGAGAGCCTCTCACCAAAATTTGTTTTTAAGGATGAACAAGGAAGATTCATAGCAATTGAAATTCAAGTACAAGGAGAAAAATTTTTGATAGTAGGTGTATATGCACCAAATGAGGGAAATCTATATTCTACAAAAAGTTGCATGAGACCTTGATGGACTATATGGACTATAATACTGTTTTCATGGGAGATATGAATGGGGTGGTTTCTACAAATATGGACAAGTCACAAAGAGAGGTAGTTACTAAAGATGGTAGACTACCGAAAACATTTTTGAACTAACTGACAATATGGATTTGATTGACATTTGGAGAACTAAGAACCCCCTTGATAGAGAAGGAACCTTTTTTTCTGAAGCCCAGAAGACATGGACAAGAATTGACCAAATCTGGACTACTAGAGGACTGGCACCCAAGGTTAAGAAGGTAGAGATCTGCCCAAAAACATGCTCCGACCATAACGCCGTGAGAATGGAGATGAAGTTAACACCTATTGGTTCCTTCCGATGGAGGATGAATGACACCTTGTTTAGAGATCAAGAGGTGATTAAGAAGGCCCAAAAGACATTGAGGGACTATTTTGAGATAAACTTGAATACAACTGTAGAAAAAAGAGTAATCTGGGATGCAAGCAAAGCTGTTATGAGGGGCTTCCTGATTCAACAGAATTCAATTAAGAAGAAGGCCCAAAACGTAAAGAAAGAAAAATTTTTGGAAAAAATAAAGGAGGGCGAGAAGAAATTGAGAGTGAAGCCCAATTCACAAGAGATTCTGAGGGAAATAAAATTGTACCAAGTGCAATATATGAAATTGATAAATCAAGAAGTGGAATGGAAAATTAAGCAAATGAGACAAAAGACTTTTGAATCGGCAAATAAATGTGGGAAACTGCTGGCCTGGCAGTTGAAGAAGCGACAAAAACTTAATACTATTATTAATTTGGAAGTGGAAGGGAAAAATATCCAGAATCCAGAAGAAATTAGGAAATGCTTCCAGAGATATTTTAAACGACTATACACACAAGGGCCTCAGAAAGAATTTGAGATAGAGCAATTTTTGAAAACCAATGGATTACAAAAATTTCTCAGGACAACAAGATATTGTTGAACTATAAAATTACAGAACAGGAGGTTGAAGGTGCCATTCAGAATATGCAGTTGGGAAAATCTCCAGGACCGGATGGTTTAACCTCAAAATATTACAGAACTTTGAAAGACTGGTTAATTCGACCTTTAACTGAGGTTTGTAATGAAATTTTAGAGGGGAAAGAGCGCCAGAGTCGTGGAAAGACGCATTTATTACACTTATACCAAAGGCTGAGACTGAAAAGACACAGCTTAAGAACTACCGGCCCATATCCCTGTTAAATGTGGATTACAAAATTTTTGCTGATATTTTAGCAAAAGGCTTAAAAAGTGTTAAAAGGAGTGATTCACAAGGACCAAGCTGGCTTTCTTCCAGATAGACATCTTTCGGACAACACAAGGAACGTAATTGATATTCTGGAGAAGCTGCAAGAGGAGATCAACACTAAAGCAGTTTTGATTTTTGTGGATGCAGAGAAAGCCTTTGACAATATTTCTTGGAGTTTTATGAAAAAAAATCTTCAGGGGATGGGGGTAGGCCAAGAGTTTGAAAATGGTATAAATGCAATTTATTCAGAACAAAAAGCTAAATTAATAGTTAATAATGTGATAACAGAGGAAATTAAGATAGAGAAAGGGACACGACAAGGCTGCCCAATTTCCCATCTACTTTTTATTTCTGTTCTGGAGGTTTTGTTAAATATGATAAGAAGGGACCATCTGATTAAGGGCATAACGGTCGGAGCGAAACAATATAAACTGAAAGCATTTGCAGATGACCTTGTACTGACATTACAGGAGCCAGAATCTAGTACGAAAAGAGCATTAGAACTGATTCAAGAGTTTGGTCAGGTGGCAGGTTTTAAGCTGAATAAGTTTAAAACTAAAGTACTTGAGAAGAATTTAACACCGATAGAAAAGAGAGGTTTCAGAATGAGACAGGTTTAACAGTGGTAAAGTGAAATATTTGGGGATTCACATGACAGCTAAAAATGGGAATTTATTTAAAGACAATTATGAAAAGTGTTGGTCGGACATTAAAAAAGATTTAGAAATATGGACAAACTTGAAGCTTTCCTTGTTAGGTCGAATTGCTGTCATCAAGATGAATGTATTGCCAAGAATGCTGTTTTTGTTTCAATCGATACAAATAATAGACAAAATGGACTGTTTTAAGAAGTGGCAGAGAGATATTTCTAAGTTTGTCTGGCAGGGCAAGAGGCCTAGGATAAAATTTAAAATATTGACTGATGCTAAAGAAAGAGGGGATTTGCCCTGCCAGACCTTAAACTTTATTATGAATCAGCAGCTTTCTGCTGGTTGAAGGATTGGCTACTTCTGGAAAATACTGATGTTTTGGACTTAGAAGGATTTAATAATGTGTTTGGGTGGTGTGATGGGATGATGAGCTGCTTGTGCGTAAAATCGTATCCCCTCAGAGTTTGTTCAAGTCCACAAACCTCTGTCTGTGACAGAGCCCCTCAGACATGGCTACTCTAGTCACTAGCAGATTCCGACAGTGGTTGCTTTCGTAATCGCTTCCAACATAAAAGCTCCTTAACGGAAACACGTCTTCTGGAATCTCTGCGTGACAGTTTCCGGCGAGGAGTGGGTGTTCTTACAGGAGGTCCTGAAACCTCTCCACTGTTTTCGCTGGAAGTGTCTCTGAGCCATCCCTCCAGCTCAGCTCCTCTCCCCCTGCTGGTTCCCTCATCAGCTGCTGCGTCTCTCCCAACCTGTGTGAGCCCTTTCACCTCCCTGTTGGTTTCCTCTTCAGCTGCTGCGTCTCTCCCAACCTGTGTGAGCCCTTTCACCTCCCTTCCGTCCGATGGCAGTTCCCTGACATCCACCTCCCCTCCAGGGCCCCCTTCACCCCCTCTCGCCCCCTCCTCTACGGGCGGTGAGGAGGCAAAACCCGGAATGAACTTCCTTCATCTTCCGATGTCTCGAACACTTCTCTCAACCTGTTGCGGTTCCTGGTCTCGAAGTACACCTCCTCCTCAGAGTCCATCTCCCTTCCCCTTCCGAGTCCGGGAATCCTTCCAACTCCTCCCCTTCATCCAGTGGTCCCAAAGTATTCCCTCCGGAACCTCTCCACAGGCTGAGGTTTCCTTGGGAACCTTTGATGGAACGTTTCTATCAATACCTCGTCATTGATATCTTCAGCCATTACCCAAGTGTTTTCTGACTCCGGTTCTCCTTCCCACGCTACCAAATACTCCACCTGATCCCCCTTCCACCTGGCGTCGAGGATTTCTGCCACATGGCTGCTGCATTCTCTTTCTTCTACGACCGGGCCCCGAGTGGCCAGCCCTTCTCGTCCCCCTTCGTACGGTGACAGTAACGACCTGTGAAATACTGGGTGCAGTTTCATGTGGTTGGGTAACCGGAGCCTGAAAGCCACTGGGTTGACCTGTTGAATGACCTCAAAGGGACCCAACCTCCTGGGTCTTAATTTCTTACAACCTCCTTTGAGCGGCACCCCTTGGGTGGACAGCCACACCCTCGCTCCCACCCGGCTGGTTTCACCTTCCCTTCGGTTCTTGTCTGCCTGCCTCTTGTATTCTTCCTTCGCCCTTTCTAAGTTGAGTTGGAGCTGACGATGGATTGCTTCCATTTCTTCCACAAAATGCTCGGCTGCCGGGACGCTCCATCTCTCCCCCTCTCCCCTGGGAAAGCCCTGGGATGACACCCATAATTAGCCAAGAAGGGCTCATCCCTGTGGACACATTCTCGGCATTGTTGTAGGCAAATTCCGCCAGCGCCAACTTTTCTACCCAGTCATTCTCTCTGTCATTGACATAACACCTCAGGTATTGCTGGAGGACACCGTTTGCTCTTTCCGCCTGCCCGTTGGTTTCAGGGTGCCGGGCAGTCGAAAAATTGACCTCCACCTGCAGTAAGCTCATGAGCTTCCTCCAGAACCTGGAAGTAAATTGTTTTCCTCGGTCTGAGACCACCCTCAATGGCACCCCGTGCAACCTAAAAATGTTTTCTACAAATAACTTCGCTGTCTCTTCCGCCGTGACTGCATGCGAGCAAGCTACAAAGTGGCACATCTTTGTTAGTAGGTCTACCACCACCATGATGGCTGTTTTCCCTTTGGACTTCGGCAGATCAGTCATAAAATCTATCGACACTGCCTCCCAAGGTCGTTCTGGGGTTGGTAAGGGTTCTAATAGCCCCGCCGGCGCCCGCCTTTCCCCTTTGGCTCGCTGGCATTGCTCGCACCCTCTTACATACTCACGTACATCTTCCCTCACCTTAGGCCACCAAAATTCCCTGGTGACCAACCACATGGTTTTGTGTTGTCCAAAATGCCCGCCGTAGGGCTGTCGTGCAACTGCTTGAGTACCCTCCCCTTAACTCTCCTTCAGGGATATACAGTGCCCCTTTGTAATACAAAGCTCCATTTCTTTCCTCGAAACCCCCTGGTTCCTCTCCATCACCCCTAAGACCTCTGAGCTTATTCTGGGCGTATTCATCATTCTCTGTTTCCTCTACCAGTTCTCTTTGTCCCACCAATGCCGCCCCACACACCCAGCGGTCTTCTGGAATGACATGTCTCTCTTCGGGTGCCCCCTTCCCCTCCAAATATTCAGGTTTGCGTGAGAGAGCGTCCGCCCTAATGTTCTCTGGGCCTGGCACGTAACTAATCTCAAAGTTAAATTTGGAGAACTCCTGGGCCCATCTCACTTGCCGTTGGTTGAGCACTCGTGCCGTCCTCCAATACTCTAGGTTCTTGTGGTCAGTGCACACTTGCACCTTATGTTGTGCGCCAATTAGCAGGTGCCTCCATCTCCGGAACGCCTCATGAATGGCTAGTAGTTCTCGGTCATACACCGTGTAGTTCCTCTCGGATTTGTTCAGCTTTCGCGAAAAAAGGCACACGGTCTCCACTCTGACCCCTTCTTGCCTGGCTGCAGAAGCACCGCCCCAATCGCTCTGTCTGATGCGTCAGTTTCCACTCTCATCGGTTTTTGTAAATCCACATGCAGGAGTTGTTGTTCCGAGGCGAAGGCCCTTTTAGTTCCTCAAATGCTCGCTCCGCCTCCTCAGTCCACACGAACTTCTTCTTACTGCTGAGACAGTCCGTAATGGGCGCCGTCAGGTGGGCAAAGTTTCGGATGAACTTACGATAGAAGTTCCCAAATCCTAGGAACCTCTGCACATCCTTCTTTGTTTTGGGTGCTTTCCATTCCAGCACAGCCTGGACCTTGCCGGGATCCATGGCCAATCCCTTGTCTGACAGGCGATACCCCAGGAATTCCACCTCCTTGGTATGAAACTGACACTTCTCCAGTTTCACCCACAGCTGGTTGGCTTGCAGCCTGCTCAACACTTCTCTGACGTCTCTCACATGCTGCTCCTCATTCTCAGAATACACCAACACGTCGTCTAAAAGGCCACACAATTCTTGTAAAGCAAAGGCCCCAGGACGTGGTTCATAAACGATTGAAAGGTTGCGGAGCCTGCTTGGAGGCCGAAGGGCATAACCAAATATTCAAATGCCCCTAAAGGGGTGAACATAGTGGTTTTCCATTCATCCCCCTTCCTTATTCGTACCAGGTTGTACGCCCCCCTTAGGTCCAGCTTTGTAAAAATCTTTCCCTTCCGCACCCTTGTCAAAATGTCGTCAATCCTGGGCATAGGGAAGGCTACTGGTTCTGACACTGCATTTAAGGCCCTGAAGTCACACACCAGCCTCGGCTTGTTCGTGTTTTCTTATCCACAAAAACACTGGGCTGCCCCCACCGCCCTGGACTCTCTGATGAACCCTCTCTTCAGGTTCTTGTCAATGAACTCTCTTAACTCCTGCATCTCTCTGTCTGACATGGCGTACAGCTTGCCTACAGGGAGCTGTGCTCCAGGGAGTAAGTTGATTTGACAGTCAAAGGGTCTATGCGGGGGTAGTTGGTCAGCTTCCCTTTCGCTGAAGACGTCACGGAGATCTGCATATTGTCGTGGTACCTTCACGTTCTCTGTTACTTCAGTCCCTGCTAGGGTGGCTTGGACCCCTGCCAAACCCTTTCCCTCTTTGCAGTGTTCTAAGCAATGTGCTGAACCAAAAGAAACCACTCTCTGATGCCAGCCCACCAGCGGATCATGTAACGCTAGCCAGCTCATCCCCAATATAATGGGAGCTCCTCCCAAGGTGGCCACATTAAAAGCTATCAGTTCGGTGTGCCTTGCTACCTTCATTATCATTGGGACGGTCTGCAAGCTGACTTCTCCACCCAACAGCTCCCTGCCATCGATCGTGGTCACATGCAGGGGCTGCTTAAAGGATTGTCTGTATCTGGTGTTCAGCTGCAAACTCTTTGCTCATGAAATTGCAGGAGCTGCCTGAGTCCAACAGCGCCTTTATCTTTAGAGGGTGTCCGTTTGGCAGCTCTAGCGTCACTTCTATCACTAGGGCGGGTTTAGGAGGTTCTGGCGTGGGCACTCTCACTGCTCTTTGGCCTGGCTGCTGTGCCCTGACAGTGGCAGCCAGGCGTTGGCTTTACTTGCTCCGGTATATTTTCCTCTCTTCCATCCACAGCCCCTACCATCCCTTGCCATTCTTTCCTCTGAGGGCAGACTCTGGCAAGGTGACCTGGCTGTTGGCAGAGATAGCATTTCCGGGTGCCTTTTCCCTCCTTCTTTGCCCCCTCACTGGGCTTTGAAACTGCGCGCGCGCGCTGTTCCGATTTCCATCGGCTCTGCCGGTGGGAAAGTTGGCTCTGGAATGTCTGGAATGCGGAACTCCTTCCAACGTTCCCCTTTCCCTTCCCGCCTCTCCAATGCTCTCGCCTCCTGGCGCGCTCCTATGGCCAGCGCTGATTTGGTCAGCTGGTCCATAGACTCCGCCCTGGGCGCCCGGGAAAGTTCGTCTTTCACAGCCGAAGAAAGCCCTTCTTCAAAGAGCATTTGAATGGGTTCCGCCGATAAGTCCCACCCCAATCTGTGAACAAGCATGGTGAACTCAGTCCAGTACTCACGGACAGATCGGCTCCCCTGTTTGCAACCCATTAACTGTCTGCGCACCACTCCCTTTTCAATATCGCTGGAAAACATCAGATCCATGGCGCGAAAGAACTTCATCGTGTCTTTTAAGACGTCACTATTCGCTGCCATCAGGGTCTAACCCAGTCTCTCGCCCCCTTTTCAAGATGCTCAATCACGAAAGCCACTCGTGATTCCTCGTCAGGGAATTCATCAAACTGCAGATTGAGGGCATATTGCATTTCTGTCCGAAAACCATGATAGTTTTGGGCTCCCCCCCAAACTTCTGCACCAATCCTGGTACCTTTCTGGCGAACTGGGTGGCTTTCCCCTTTTGTCTGCATCCTGAGCCCTCCTCTCCTCAAGCCTCGCCGTCTGCATCGCTAGCTGGACCTCCAACATCTGGTACCTTTCTTCCAGGCTTGGACCCGCTCCAGCTCCTGCTTCTCCGGTTCCGGCTGGGTTGCTCATGATACCTTCTCCTGCACAAGCTGCTTTCAAAGACTGTCGGAATGCTGTGATGGGATGATGAGCTGCTTGTGCGTAAAATCGTATCCCCTCAGAGTTTGTTCAAGTCCACAAACCTCTGTCTGTGACAGAGCCCCTCAGACATGGCTACTCTAGTCACTAGCAGATTCCGACAGTGGTTGCTTTCGTAATCGCTTCCAACATAAAAGCTCCTTAACGGAAACACGTCTTCTGGAATCTCTGCGTGACAGTTTCCGGCGAGGAGTGGGTGTTCTTACAGGAGGTCCTGAAACCTCTCCACTGTTTTCGCTGGAAGTGTCTCTGAGCCATCCCTCCAGCTCAGCTCCTCTCCCCCTGCTGGTTCCCTCATCAGCTGCTGCGTCTCTCCCAACCTGTGTGAGCCCTTTCACCTCCCTGTTGGTTTCCTCTTCAGCTGCTGCGTCTCTCCCAACCTGTGTGAGCCCTTTCACCTCCCTTCCGTCCGATGGCAGTTCCCTGACAGGTGGCATGCATATTTGTGGTATGACAAGGTGAAAGCTCACAAAATATTTAAAAACCATATTGTCAGGAAAGCATTGTTTAATGTCTGGATAAGATACAAAGACTTATTGGAGAACAAAACCCCAAGGTGGCTATCACCAATGGAGGCAAAGGCCCTAAAAAAGTCCAATATGGAGGCCAAGTGGCCAAAATATTGGGAGATCTTGGAACAAGAAGGAGATAAATTCAAATTGCAGAGTTTTGAAAAATTAAAAGACAGAGTGCGAGACTGGTTGCATTACTACCAAATAAGAGAGGTTTATAATTTGGATAGAAAAATTGGCTTCCAGGTGGAAAAATCAAAGTTGGAAACAGAACTGCTAGATTCCAAAACTAAAACACTTTCAAGAATGTATAACTTGCTGCTAAAATGGAATACTCAGGATGAAACGGTAAAATCTGCTATGATTAAATGGGCACAGGATATTGGACATAACATTATGTTTGCTGACTGGGAATGGTTATGGACCACAGGTACGAAGTTCACAGCATGTAATGCTTTAAAAGAGAATATTATGAAAATGGTGTACAGGTGGTACATGACCCCAGTTAAGCTTGCAAAAATCTACCATTTGCCCGATAATAAATGTTGGAAATGTAAGGAAACTGAAGGTACATTCTTTCACCTTTGGTGGACGTGCCCAAAGATTAAGGCCTTCTGGGAAATGATATATAATGAGTTGAAAAAGGTATTTAAGTATACCTTCTTAAAGAAACCAGAGGCCTTCCTCTTGGGCATTGTTGGCCAATTGGTGCCAAAGAAAGATAGAACTTTCTTTATGTATGCAACAGCAGCAGCAAGAATACTCATCGCAAAGTATTGGAAGACACAAGACTTACCCACTCTGGAAGAATGGCAGATGAAGGTAATCGAATATATGGAACTGGCGGAGATGACTGGCAGAATCCGTGACCAGGGAGAAGAGTCGGTGGAAGAAGATTGGAAGAAATTTAAAGTCTATCTACAGAAATACTATAAAATCAATGAATGTTAAATTGAAGTCTGATTGAAAATAACTGGTATTGGCAAAAGCCTTGGGATTAAGAGTATGGAATATTTGACTGATAAGGTTGTAAAAATATTTATATATAAATAGATTAAGTTTTCTGAGTTAAGATAATGAAAGGAGGGTAAGGATTTGCTGAAAGGAGTTCTTAAATGGAAATACAAGCGGGGAGGTGCGGGGAAGTCAAAGAACCAGGTAAAGATAAGAAGGATATATGAAAGTATAATATTCTTTGAATTTCTTTGTCTCTTTTTCCTTTTCTCCTTTTTCTCTTTTTGTTATGGATACTGTTATTTCTGTTTGTTTTTTGTCATGGTTATTGTTGTTTTTTGTTTGTTGAACTTTTGTAATTTTGTATTTTTTTGGAAATTTTTTTTGTAAAACCAATAAATATTTTATAAAAAAAAAAA